ACTTTGAATATACATTGTCTGTATTGTACAGTATGTATATATATATATACTGTATGTGTGTGTGAATGCATTGGACTATACTTTTACAATACATAATATACAGTAGTATTACTATTACTTATATATATAACAACACATTTTAGGTTTTACATTACATTACATATACAGTATATATATATACACATATATACTGTATATATAGTACACTATAGTATATATATTATATGTATATTAATTGCCTCTCATCTTGAAGTATATATTATTAATACTATTATTAATATATATATCATATATAATACATGTCTTTCATGTAAATCATAATAATATCATATATGATATATAATCACAATATTTAATAGTGATATGATTTGATTGATATTATTATTATTATTGTTATTATTATTATTATTATTATTACTAATAATAATAATATTGATAAAGCATTTGAAATATATATTATTATTATTATTAGTATTGTTGTTGTTGTTGGACATCAAGACAACACATCCATTACAAGACAACAACAACTATAATATCTTTCATCCATTCATTCAAATGGTCATCACTTGTGTGAAGACTAACTGATTGATTGATTGATTGATTGATTGACTATTGAATTTTAAAGTGATATCATATCATATCATCAATTGATTGATCTCTTTGTCGTGTCGGTCATCGTCATCGACATCTGATTTTTTGTTTGTTTGTTTGGTATTATCACTATTTAGTGGTTTGTTTTTGAATCACTTATTGTCGCCGCCATTGCTGTCGTCGTCGTCGCCATCGCCGTCAACAACAACAACAGCGTGTCATCAGAAACAGCAGCAGTGATGTCCAGATCATCGCCGCCGTTGTCATCATCGTCGTCGCCGATCACCGATTCATCAGTGTCGCCATTGAACGAAACAATAACATCGGCAGCAACTGGTGTATTGTCGGCATCGTCGACACCGTCATCGACACCATTATCGACAACAACAACAACAATAGCTAATCAAACAAATCATAGCAGCAGCCAGTCGTCAGTTGATCCAAAAGAAATGATGGACAATAATAGCACGACATCGTTGAATGCACCGAAATATGGCACTCCAGGTCTGTCTGATACTATATATATCATCTGAAATCAGATGATGATATCAATTGAATTCAATTATCATATATGATATATAATGTCTTTGTCTTTCTTTCTTTCTTTTTTTATAATCAAAATCCAGTTCCCAATCGTGTGTTTGTCGGCGGAATACCCGGCGATGTATGTATTCATTCATTGATTTTGAATGATTAATGTAATATAATTTCTAATAAAATCTATCTTTTTTGTTGGTCATTACCACCGATGAATAATAGGCCACCGAAATCGATGTCATGTCATTGTTTGGCAAGTTTGGCAAAATAATGAATGTCAACATAATACTAGACCGAGCGGGTGTTCCCCGTGGGTATGTACTAATATTGAGCCCTCTCCCCGAAACACTAGTTGACCATCATATCACTGACCACATGTTATTGTCCTCCAAAAAAAAAATAAACAGTTACGGATTTGTGACGTTCGAGACGGAAGACGACGCCAAACGGGTAATCCAAGAGAAAGATAATCTCATTATTAATAACCGAAAACTCAATGTTTCGGTGGCCATCAAAAAGCATCAGAATTTTACAAACGGTTTGTATATTCATATTAAAAAAAACATGAAATTGATTCTTACGGTGATTTACAACACCACACATAGAAATGAATTTCCGAAGTCTGACCAACGGAGCCGTTATCTATAATGCCTATCCATTGATGAATACATCCCAAGCACTGTACGGCGACTATGGTATCTATCCGACTGATTCGATACCGATCTATAATTTTGGTGTTAATCCACAAATGATAACCTCGACGGGTATTACTACATCACCGCCGCAAAGCTCATACCCATATGCATATCAGCCGACATCGGGCGGTGTCTATCTGACAACTCAGCCATCGATGGCAGCTTCTACTCATCAGTTGATGTCATCATTTCAATCGTCAACACCTCAGACAGCTTATCCAATACTAAACGGACCGTTTAGACTACCAATGAATGCACAGGTATTTATAAAATTTATTTATTTATTTTTTGAATTAATTAACCGGTAATATAAATCATATATTTATTACTAGAATATGAATCAAGTGAACCCATACATACATATGTCCAGTTCCAGTACACCACCATTGAGTCAGAATTCATCAATACCTGTTCATCAACTATCGGCAGTTGCCGGCAATCATCAAATGGTGAGCGCAGCCGACTATCCACCCAATAGTTCAGCTACCGGTGTAAATGCAATAAACACAAGCTTTTCATCACTGAATCTAATGCAGCCGCCAATCTATGCCATATCTCCCAATGGACTGCCGCAGCCATCACCGCTGCCTAACGGTGGTGTCAATAGTTCAGGCCATCAATCTATGGCCGCCTGTATACACAACTATCATCAACAACAACAACAACAACATCATAGACCCGATAGTAGACCACCCGAACACCAGCAGCATATACATCATCATTCGGCCGGCGATAATGGCGGACCGGCTCTACTACACCATCACACTCATAGCCAACAAATGTCGCCGCAAGTTGTCGAACTGATGCCCATTTGGTCGCAAAAAGTGCCAAACAATACAACTAATACTACTACTAATAATAGTACGACAACAAGTAATCATCAGAAATCAATGTCTAGAGATAATAATGGTGGCGGTGGTGGTGGTGGTCGTCATCATCATAATCATCATCAATACTCACAGAAACCCAACAATAATATGTCGACCACATCGTCATCGAACTCGTCATCGGCGGTATCGTCGTCTAGAGGAGACTATAACAACAGATTGGATAACAACAAACAACGCAATACTAGTTATAACAATAGTCATCATCATAACAATAGAAAGCCGGCCACCAATTCATATACTAATAGTAATAATATGAAGTCGAAAAACGGTGGTTATAACGGTGGTGGTGGCGGTGGCGGCCAGTCGTCATATGGACCGCCAAAACAACAACAACCAGCAAACAATTCATATGAAACTGAGTGCCAAACAATAGCAACACCAACCGCTTATAATCATCATAACAATGTACCGGTAATTGCAAATACCTCAGCACTACAAGGAATGCCATTTGTTAAGCATACGTTTAATCATCGATATCATCATCCGATGAATAACCATCATCTGCATCAGCAGCAGCAGCAGTATACGATGCAATCGACCATTACTGCTGCTACTGGCAATGGTTATCATCAACAGCAGCAGCAACAGCAACCACACCATCATTATCATCATCACAATCAACAGCAGCACAATGGAAGTGTCGGTAATTTACCGACAATCAAAAAGGTGGTCAACGGTATCGAAATTCTAACAGTTCCCAGTGTTAACAACGGTGGTGGCGGTGGCGGCGGCGGTTTCGGGCCACCAATTAGTCCTCCATTGACTCCCGGCGGCGGCACTCAATTGGCTCATAAATAATCTGTAATAATAATAATAATAATGATATTGTCATAAGTTTTGCTCATTAGTTTGCATCACGTTTTTCGTGCATTTCGACGAAAAAAAAGCATTTTATTTAAGAAAACAAAATATGACTTTAAAAGAAATTAATTTTTTTTAGACACAAATCGAGTGATTAACGAAAAACTAGTCATTGATTAATATATATTTATATAAAGAAAAAAAACTTGTTTTTTGTTTTTTTTTTGTTTTGTTATGACTGATAATAATAATGATTATTAAGCTTATAATAAGTTAAGTTATAAATATATATATACATACACTATAGCCATACAGTTTTTGTTTGTTTGTTTAATTAATTGCTGTTATTTAATATTTAATTGATAGTCCCGTTTCACTCTCACTTTCTCTAGTTATTTGACAAAAAAAAATAATGGCTTAAAAAATTATATTATTATTATTATTATAATAATAATAACCATTAATTAAAAAAAATCATTTTTGTTTTGCGGTGATTATTCATTGATTGATAAATTGATTTAATTAATTAATTGATTGATTGATTAATATGTTAATTATTTTGACTTTGAATTTATTATCATAAAAAACACAACAAAGACAAGCAATTTAAATATACATTTATATATTAATTGTGATATAATTAACAAACAAACAAACAAACAAACATTTTTGAATTTTTTTTTTTTGATTATTTATTTAAACGAATTAGTTTAATAATAATAATAATTAATTAATAATATTACCGGTAATAATAATAATAATAATAATGTATAGACGTTGACATACAAGTTGTAAAAAAACATTTTTTTTACAAAAAAAATGATTTCTAGTGGGGGATGAAGTGGTGCCTAAATTATGTGGGAGTTAATGGAGTGATTATTATTATTATTATTATTTAATTTTAATAATATAATAATAAAATGCTAGTGTCTGTGCCTTTTGCTCAAAACAATTATAAAACAAAACAAGCAAACAATTTATATTCAAAAAAAACAAAAAACAAAAATAATTGTGACATAAAAATATATGAATGACATTTTTTTAAAACAACAAAAAATAATTGACGAAAAAATACCAAAATTTTTTTGGATAACTGTGCCCATCATAGGTGGTACTAAATTATAAGCTGCTGATTATTAATTAATATAATATTGATCCCAAAAAATTTAAAAATTTAAATGATAGCTAAACGATAGATATTGTTGTACTGTAGTAATAGTAGTATTTTTTTTTGGTCTAATATTTTGGCCCAAAAAAAATTTAATTAATAAATCAATCAAATGAGAGAGAAATCTTAATTAGTTAATAATAATAATAAAAATGATGATAATGTTGATGATGATGATGATGATGGTTGAAGTTGATGATGATGATGTTAATAATAATAATAATAATAATTGTAGTAATAATAATATTACAACTTAATTGATCTTTTAATTTTTGTTTTTTTTGATTGAATTTAATTTTTCTTATTGAATTTGTGATATATGATTTTTTTCATAAAAAAAAATTTAAACAAATTATTTGTTGAAATTTTTTTTTTTGATTTTTTCAAATTTCTTATTTTTCCAAATAATAATAATAATATTATTATTATTATTATTGTAATAATAATTTCCTCAAATTTGTATTAATATACTCGACTGATTCAAACACCACACATACATACACATACATACATACATACATACAAACACAATATACATATACCAATGTTTATATAATTACAGTATATCTCAATCACTGTTTAATTATTATTATTATTATTATGTTTTTAAAAAATCAAATAATCTCTTTTTTTTAAAAAAAACTGTTTATTATTTCATTAGTAATTAATGTTTTTTTTTAAAATTTGAGATCTAAGATTTGCTCACAAATATAGTAGATATTTATAAATATATTAGAAAATTAAATTGTTTTTGTTTATTATTATTAATAATAATATTATTTTTTGCTTGAATTGAAATTTACTGTTTTTTCACATTATATTATATGCATAGATGTTATATAATTAAGTATTAAAAAAAATAGAGAAAAAGTTATGTTTATTTGTGATTATTATTATTATAATAATAATTTTTTATTTGCAATATAATGTTGGTTTTTTGACGATAATAATAATAATAATAATAATAATATAATGTTAATTACATTTATATACAGTATATTTTTCATATAAGATTTGTTTTACACATACAAACACTTTTTACAGTAAAAAAATTATATATAAATTAATAATTGATTTTTTTTTTTAATTGTCTCATAAGAGTCACAACGAAATTAGATATTTAAAAACAAAACATAAATTATTAAAAATTATCAATTTTTAATTGAAATTATTAAAAAATTAATTAATCAATTTATTATTATTATTATTATAATTGTACACAAAACATACATATAAATTATCAATTTAAAAATTTTTATATTTATATACAACAACAACAACAAATATTTTTTTTTAATTATTATTATATTCAAAATTTTATTTTTGTTTGTTTTTTGTTTCAAAATATATATAGCAATTATATACTGTATATAATAATAATAATAATAGCATTTTGTAAAAGAAAAAAAACATTTATACAAACATCCATACAAAATAAAACACATATAATAAACATATAATAAATAAAAATTAAATTTTTTTTTGTTAAATTTACAACAACATCGACAACAACAACAACAACAAAAATAATGACATTAACAACAAAATACTGTAATTGATATTATTTTATAGTTTTTTTTAGAAAATATATTTATTAATTGAAAAAAAACAACAACAGATAGTCAAGAGATATTTTGAAGAAAAAATAAATAATTTAAAAAAATAATAATAAATTTTGTCAACACATTTTTTGTATAATTTCTATATAAATAAAAAATAATTATTAAAAAAAATCTAATTTATTAATATCATCTTTTTTTGTTTGTATATGTATTGTCTATTTTATTTATTTTATTTTATTTGAATGCAATTAGTTTTATATCAACAACAATAAAAAAAGTATACAAAGTTTTAAATTATACATAAATTTTTTTTAAAAAAATAAGTAAAAAATAATTTTAATGGATTTTTATCATCAAATTTATAATTACCGGTAATTACAATATTATTAGTAATTATTATTATTTAATAACATTTTAAAAAAAACAACAAAAATTATAAATGAAATTCATTTTTCATTTTATAGGTTCGCTTCCAGATATCGCACAGACATACAGTTGAATGGAACCGATAGAAGATAGTCAATGGCATTGTTACATGGGTTATGATTGTCCAGGCCCAGAAGCTACAGGTGCCACCAGCAGCATATGGAGATATCCAACATAAAAAAGACAAACAAACAATAACTTAATTAACATCATAGGGTGGGATAGGGTGAGGTGAGTGGGTGTGTATGTAGAGAAAGGGAGGTTATATATACACTACTAACTAACCCATAGAAATGCATTTGAACGGGATTGGAGTCGGCCCGTCGGGTTTCTAGTGTATTGATAGACCACATGGCAAAGTTGCAGACCAACAAAAAGGTAACCATTTCGCGGCCCGGCTTACGGCGCATCTATTAATGAACAAAAAATATATATATAATAAACTTTATAACACACACACACACCACATACATACCTGGTCATTGGTAACGGCATACCGGTGCGATGCGTCCAATATGAATATGGTTTGCAAAGTGGCCTGTATTAGACAAGCCGATGCATTGATGAGTACCAATCGGGTATTTTGTTGTAACGTAAAAAATTGGGCCCCAATTACCGAAAACATTGTAAATATATAGAGTCCAATTTGGGCTACAATTAGCAATATGTTGTCCAATTCGGCATTACGGTGCCGATTGTAGGGCATGTGTCGTACCTGATAAACATATTACCGGTAATTATAATAGTCTCAACCCCGCCTCCCCACCCCTGAAATATTCATAATGAATCAACAATAATTACCTGAAATATGGCTATTAGACAGGCAATGGCGTTAATACAATAGATAAATAGTTCAATAATGTGGGCCTGGAGTACAGCCAGATGACGGAATTGCGGTTTTTTGATGAATACAAAAAATAATATCAACGATATTATACTAATGACTAACAGGAATATTCCGGTAAACAGGCCTTTGTGTGCTTTAGCGCAGTCAACCTATTATCAAAAGGGACGGGTATTATCAGTAAATATAACATTAATAAATATTGTTATACATATATTTGTATATTAAGATATTTTTTTGTTAGGTATAGTTTATGTGTTTTTTATATCATATTAGTATTAGTATTATTAACTTCAAGGAAATACATGCATATTATAACTATAGTGAATGGGATGATACCTGATAGTGATGTCTATGATGAATGGTGTGGACAATAGTAGTGCTCATTGAATGGCTATCCTGTTGTTGATGTGAATGATGATGACTACTACCACCACCACCACCACTACTGGTGACGGTATGCGGACGGTTTGTATTTGATTTCCTGAATAACGATAATCACATAATAAAAAAACATAACAGTGCCTCCACAAACAAAAAAAACCATACATACCTATCGTGAACACCTTTCCACATTATATAGAGTATTGCAGCACAAATTAGACTATACTCGATGGTACAGGGAAACAGAAACTGGGAGGCATCCCTGACCAGATCGCCGATAACATTTGATCGGCGACACTCACCGTGTGTCATATGTATGGAATGGTCGGCCAGACTTCTGCGGACAATCTGATGGTTGGACATAAGCTGCTGTTGTTGTTGTTGTTGGTGTTGGTGATGATGTAGTGGACCGGACGGTCCAATTGATTCCAGATAGTCTTCGGATATTTCTTCGACAACATCGTCAACGTGTTCCCAGGCTATGGAAAAATCGGGTCCCAGACCGCCGACACCGTGAGTGGTATTCGGATTGACAATAACCATGATTTGGTGTTTGGTTTCCTGGATGAGCACATGTAGCCAAACGCATATATTGGTGGCAATCATATGCATTAGGCCGAACCTGGCTGTGTTTTTTTTATATAATAATTAAAATATATATAAATTTATATATCAAGTGTCAAATATATCAAATATATAAATGCATATCAATATACGGTAAATGATAAATAAATTAGATTATTATAGATATAAATTAGATATAATAATATTGTATAACAAATTATATATCATTTTCACTCTACTTATTTTTTTGACTATTAATTTGATTATTATTGAAAATACAGCATAAATAGTAATAATAGTAATAATAACTAAATAAATAAATTAATTGAATTTTTTTGTTGTTGATAACCTATTCATTATACTGTGTATATATAATATATTGATTTTATATATATGTGATGATAATGATATATGATATTTTATTTTATTTTTATATATATAGATTTATCTGTGCAAATCTACCAAACAAAACAACAACAAAAAAGTTTATATAATTCAAGTTTATATATCAATAGTTTATGTATTGAATATATATATATATATATATATATAGTATATATATATATACTGTATAAAGAAATATATAATGAATAAAATATAAAACTAAATATAAAATAAAATAAACAAATAAATAACTAAATGATGCGACTATTATATTTGATAATTGAATTTTTACTGAATATATATATTATAAGCAAACATTATTGTCAACCAATTATTTATTTATTTTTTGTGGTCCACAGTATACATATATGATATATACATATAAAAAGACCACTAATTAGTAAATGCTATTCAATCAAAACATAATTAGTTTAGTTTATATATATATATATATATGATATGGTATATCCAATCAACAACAAAAAAAAGTGTGTATATGTTTGGCATTTTAATTTATTTGCTAAATATAGATGATATATATATATTGTATATATAAAGTAATTTACAGTGCTAGCTATGTTTTATATATTAAATTACTGTGTATTACACACATACAAACACATATTGATGACCAAACAACAACAAAAATTATTATCATTTATATAGATTTTTATCGATTTTTGTTTGTTTGTTAAGAAAAATATATGTGTGTTTGTGTATACAGTAAGTGTGTGTGGGTTCGAATCCCCGATAGTATTGGCAATTAAATTTTTGTATGTGTGTGTATATACAGTATATATAAGTAAGGTATGTATGTATAGACTAAACTAACTAATTTTGTTGCAAATTTGTATATATATATATATATATATATAAAAATAGCTACTAACTTAGACACACTCACTATTATTGTGTTATAAATAAAATTAATCATTTAATATATATATATATATATTATACATATATATTTCACTGAATTTTTCACTAGCTATCTGCTGATCAATCAATTAATGTTCAAATTTTTATTTTTATTGTTGAAATAGTATATGCAATATATATTATATAACACAACAATAACAACAAAAATAAAATTGTATTTTTGATGTTAAAAAACTATAGATTTCATTCAATGTTTTTTTCTCTCTCTCTCTCTCTCTCTCTCTCTCTATTATTTTCTATCAATTTCCAAGTAATCAGTAATTTTATACATAAATGTTTTGTTGGGTTTGTTGTTGTTGTTGTTGCTAATATACGGTACATTGAAATAATTGGTAATAATAATTTTTTTAAAAAAATAATGTATATATAATTTCTATAACATGGGCTGACCATTAAATCTAATGTAAACTATTTATACAGTATAGTTTATTTGTTTATTTTTATTTTTTTTTTAAATTGCATGTTAAAGTTAAAATGCAATTTACTCTATAGTTAAAACAAATTAGACAAATATATATAAATCTATTAAGTATTATATGCTATAGAAATAACAAACAAATAAAAATAAATGCTATACTAAAACAAATTTAAAAAATAAATAAATAAATGATTCATTAATGTTCATTCAAATACAGTTAGTTATATTATATATTAAGTTAATGTATATAATTTACTATTGCTATTAGAAATTATTGATTAAACTTATTTTTTTATATTTGTTTAAATAAAATCAATAATATTATTTAATAATTTATGTTTTAAATTTTATAAAATTGTAAAACTGTAATAATAATTTTGAACTAATAATTTTTTAACTAACCTATGATTAAAAAAAAATTTAAAAAATCAATGTCTAATAAAAATAAATATATTTTAGTTAAAATTGAGTAAGATAAAATTTGTAAGCATTAAAACATTTTTATCAAAAAAAAAACAAAAAATAAAATAAAGTTTAAAAAAACTATATTATAATATTAAAGTTTATAATATAATACTAATAATTAAACCAAATCAATGTTACCCACATAAAAAAAATTATTGTATATAAAATGTATTATACAAAAAACTAAAAAATTATATAAAATAATTAGTCATTCATCACTATTACTACTACAATCACCCACTACTACATCCACCCACTACTACAATACCCAGTACTATCCTCACTCAACCCATTCCACCCATCACTACAACCCCCCCCCTACCCAACCTCTACAGTACAGTCTAAAAAAACGGAAATCACTTACCAATTAGTTTATGACGTTTGATATAAACCCGGGAATTCATAAAAATAAAATACAATTGTATGAACGTAAAGGCCACGTGACAGCCGGGGGTGAAACCGTACAGAAAATTATAGCAATGCTCTTTGCTTTCCAGTTCAAAAAACTGGGCAAATTCAAGGCCCGAATAGATCATCGAACCGATACCGAAAGCTACGGCACCGACACGCAAATAAAACGACCCGCACTGGACCTGTTGGCCAGATTCTTCATCATCATCGTCAGCATCACTATCGACATCGATATCGACATCATCGGTAGCCGACGCTGCCAGTGAACTCTTGTGGACACTACCGCCGCCGCCGGCCATCATTTCCGTATCGGCGCCGCACTCTGACCAAGCGGTAAACGGCTGATGCTGCTGTTGGCGCCGGCGTTTATTTTCTGGCCAAACCAGACAACGACAGCGCCAAAACAGTTGCTGCAATTTGCGCCATAACCACCAACTCATTGGTTTCTTATGTTTAGGTTGTTTACGATGCAATAGGAACAGGTAGACAAACACGAGGAACAGTATGGATCCCATGTATAGATAAAGATAGAAACCCTCGTAATAGCCGATTGGGATCCGATGGGAGATTACTTCAGCCATCGGTAGACAAACACCTAAAAAATATTTTGATTTTTCAAAAAAATGTATTTATATTTTATATAATAATTATTACTAATTATATATTTTTTTAACAATAATATCTTTTTTAATAAGTTATATATTTATAGTATACTATATAAAAAAACTAATAGTAATTTTTAACTAATAAATTAATTATAGTTTTTTTTGAGTTAATTAAATTAATAATAGTTTTTTTGAGTTAATTAAATTAATATAACTTTTCATATCTATTATTAGTTAACTAATTATAAATTATATGATATATATTTGCTGTACAAACCTATAACAACAAGTATTTTACAATACAGTGCACTCAATACGGCAACCATACCGTCCACCGAATCGGAGTGATGTAGTCTAACGGGTTTTATCGGCTGCGGCGGCGGCAGCCGTTGCCGAAGCTCCCGCTCCCGTCCCAGCCGTAGTCGCTGTTGTTTGAGTCCCGACGACAACGACTCTACTTCTACTACTTGATTGTCCATCAGATGACGGTCTCGGTTACGGCGGGAGCTTTCGATGACAATACGATTGCAATCAAAATAATCGGGTGGACTACTCATGGAACTGCTAGTAGTGGTGTCCACTGGCGATGGCGGTAATGGTGGTAATAATATATCGTTAGCCGCCGTCACCATCACCTGATCCTCATCATCATTGTGTATGACTTTTCCATTGTTGTGTTGGTGTTGTTTTAGTCGATGGTGACTATCATCGGCTGCAGTGATGACAGCTATTTGTCCCCTAAGACTACTAACACTGAGAGCACCGATACTTGTCTTACGATTGACAAAATTATCGGTAAGTTTTGTTGACATTTTTACTGACAATGATTTTTGCCTATCATTTATTAAATAATGATTATTCATTTCAATTAATTTATTGATTATTATTATTATTAACGTTTAATAAGTTATTTCTATTAAAAAAATTTTATTACTAATAATAAGTTATTTCTATTGAATTTTTTTTTATTACTAATAATAAGTTAAATTAATTAATATTAGATTTAATGGAAAATAATAAATATTTTCTATTGAATATAACATAGTTATTGCAAATTGCAATTAATTACTTATTATTTATAGATATAAAAAAATTGCTTTAATTATTGCTAATATTCATATTATTATTTTTACATTGATTAAATTTTACAAATAATAATTATAAATATCATAGAAACATATTAATTTGTAATAATATAAATTAGTAATTATTATTATTACAGTATTATTATACAGTATTTCCTGTATACTTATTATGCATAAATTGTTAAAAAACATATATTAAAAAAATAATTATAATTAATAATTAGCAACAATTATAAAACTATTGCTAAAATAATGCACACAAAAAATAATAAACTAAAACTTAAGTATATCTTAAAATTTGATGATAATATTAATTATTAATATTAATTTGATGTTTAATTTGTTGAAAAACTTTTCAATCAAAAAAAAATACTTCAAACACTTGAAATATAACATTATTTTGTTTCAATACAATTAATACCAAAGTCCTATCTAATTAGTAAAATAAATATTTGATGATATATTCATTGCTAGAATTTTTTGATTTTACTTATAATAATAATAATAATTATTATTATTATTACTGTATTAATAGCAATGATAATCCAATTATTATTTATTAGTAAATATTTAGTAAAAAATATAATGATAACCGATTAAAAAAAAGGAGACAAATATATATATATATTAAATAAAAATATTTATATATACAGTACTGTATATATATTATTCATGACTTACAATAGTAATAATATTACTAATAATAATAAGTTGTTATTCTCTATAGATATATAACTATATATATATATATATAAGTTTATAATGTTTATCACATAACACTAAATAATGATAATAATAATACAATATTTTATCATTCATTTCACATACAATTTTTGGTATTATTATTATTATTCAAAAATTGATTGTATTTAGACTTATTGTAAACTTATAAAAGCATTTTAATATATTTATATAAATAATATATATATAAAAATTTATTATTAATATCATATCACATATATATATATATGATAAAAGCTATTAATAATAAATTTATTTACTTTTAATATATAGTATATAATTGCAATATCTATTAATAGCATTAAAAGTAAAATATATATAATTGTATAAATAAAAATTGGTGTTTATTTTTCTTATATATAAATTAAGAAAATTATAAGTGTCTACTAATTATAAACAATTTACAATATATAACAATAACAACAATAGACTTATTACTGTATTATTATTATTAAATGTAAACTTTTGTTATCTAAATGCAAATTTTAATAATTATTTTGTTGCTGTCGATATTATAACATATATTTACAGTATATTTATTTAAACTTATCAACATTTCCCATACGATAATATAGCCTATAATAATTGTTATAATTTTTTTTTTTTTATATAATACGAAACAGATTAACAAAATTTTTAGTATATGATATAAAAATGATATTACAATAGTTCACAAAACACTTTTAAGAAAAATATTGTTTTAATTATTTTGTGAAACATTTTCCCGAAAAGAAAACACTATTATCTAACAGCTATATACCAGTATATACTACTGTAATATAAGTTTCAATTTAATATTATATTATATATTAATAATATACAGTTCAATAATTGTACTAATAGTAATAATGATAATAAAATTATCATCAAATTAAATATAAATTTCAAGTGTATATAAATATCGATAAATAAAAATTATTATGTTATCATGTGTTTTGTGTGTTGAGATATATCGGCAAAAGTTGTTTTATAATTACTCATTGATTTTTGCCGCTATTTCTCTCTCTCTCTCTCTCTCTCTCTCTCTCTCTCTCTCTCTCTCTTAATCTATCAAACAATTACATTATAAACACAGTATTAATACTATAAAATAAGTTATGATTATTAATAACAACAACAACAACCTATGTAAACATTAATATTATTATCATTTATTAAACTTGTTGTTTGTTTAGTATTATCATAAAATTTATACAGAATAATATTGAATTATAATAATAAAAATAATAATTATTATTATTATTGAATTTAAAAATTATTTTTTCTTTTCAATACTTAATTTGTATTTTGATTTGATGTAAAAATATTAATAATTTATTAATTATATTCACGACTGAAATTTTATCTATAATTACTTAGTATTTAGTTGCTATTTATTGAAATCATCAACTACATTTATTTAAATTTTATTTATAAATAATTTACCAGTATGCTGTAAGTACTGTATACTGTATTGAACTAGTTATTATTAAAACTAATTAATTAATTTTAAAATAAAAAATTATATTACTAAACACTAAATATTATTTATCATATATTTTCAATATATAATATTTGATTCAATTTATTCAAAATTGACTGAATAGAGATATTAACCATTATATAGTATAATAATTTTAAATATAYATATATTATTGTATAATAACAGTTGAAAATTAAATTTTTAAAACTTTTTTTGTTTAAACTCTAAAAAAAGTTATATATATTATTAATATTATTATTTAAGATATTATTTAACCAGTGAATATGATTTATGAAATATAATATTTAGCATATATTATGTTTCAGCAAAAAAAAATAATAATAAAATAAAAAAGATTACTAAAAATTTTGGGCATTTTTTTGTATTTCGTTGACTCTTATTATTTGGATTTATGAAAGCAAAACAAATGTATATAAATTATAATAATCTGTTTTACAAAAAAAAAACTAAAATAATTTATTCAAAATTCATATAACAATATAGCGAAAAAAAATGTTTAATAAAAATATCATTTTAAATATATTGTACTTATATGTAATACAAATAACAACTTATTTTACATAATAATAATATTACCGGTAATTAAAAAATCTGTATTAATTGGAAATTATTTTTTATTTAAAACATAAATAATTTTTCGCTGACATAACAAAATGGGTAAAAAATAGTTATGATTTATTTTTATTAGTTATAGAAATTATTTATCACTTTTTTTTATTAAAAATATTATATATTTTCTATTTGTAACAAATATTGTAATACAATATTACTAATCATAAATAAAAATCATAAATCATTAGTACTTTTTTGATTGTATTGTTAGTAGACTATTGAAAATGATTTTTTTACTGTTCGTATAAAAATATATTTAACAAATTGATAACATATTACTATAGTATATACTGTATATTGTAAACAATAAATAGGCTTTTTATTATAAGAGAATATACTGTATATATATATATATATATTGAATATATGGTTTTCAATCATTTATTAAAAGTACTTTATGTCATATTTTTTATATATACAGTATATACTGTACTATACTTTTTGTATAATGTAGTGAATTATAGGGTATTATACGATATTTTGTTTGATAAAAATAACTGAAAAATGCTAATTGATTTGTGTGAAAATCATTCAAAAATAAATTATCCTAAATATATAGTATATATATGTTTTTAAAAATATGTATAATTTATTTACTTTAATATATATATATATATATTTTAATAACTCAAAAATTTTCTCTCAACTTAATGGTAGTATTTATTTTAGAGAAAAAAATTATATATAATTTTATTTTTGCAATCATAATGCACTTAGATTTTTTTTCAAATAAATTGAAAAAATATAAAATATAAATCTAGAAAAACAAATTAATGGATTTAATAATTAAATATATATTTAATTTAGAGAAAACTATAATATAATTATTTTTTTTTAGAAAACGTCTCATTAATTTTAGATTTTTTTTTATTTAAGTAAAAATCTACAGTATATATAAAGTTATATATATAAATTTAGTATTATATATTGTGTATGTATATAATATATTTTATATATATTATTTTATATATATATATACTGTATATACAGTATATAAAACTAAATTAAAATCTAAAATAATTTCATTTCTATATATATTTATAAATAAAACCTTAAATCAATTTCTATACCCATTGATTAATGTTTGCTTTTAGTGACAAAAAATATATATTTTGTATTTCCTAAATATATTATTACATTTTAAGTGTAAATGTATGCCATAATACAAATATATATATATATATATTATTTGTCAGTTATAGTAGTAGTAGTTGTAGTTATAGATAATACTGACAGCAAATCATAGACAAACTATAATAATATAATAATGACAATAATAATAGTCATTGAAATCTGTGATCACGAAAAAAGACATTCAAAAAAATCAAATGACAACAAAATAAAAATAAAACTAAAATAAAAATAATTCAACAAAAGATAAAGTGTTTCAGTCTTTTATATTTATTTGAGAAAAAAATATATATAAATCTTTAGTGATTTGTTTATACAAATAATATTTACTGTATATTTCATTATACACTGTAAAAGATTTATACAATATATATATAATACTTATTTTCTCTAATGATTTCACTTAATGTATTCACTCTCTCTCTCTCTCTCTCTCTCTCTCTCTCTCTCTCTCTCTCTCTCTCTCTCTCTCTTTCTTTCTCTATTCATAATAATAATACAAGTAGTAATAAAAACATTATTTTTAGTTTTATTTTTTATTTATTTATTTAGTTTTTGATGAATAGAGAGAGAGAGAGAGAGAGAGAGAGAGAGAGAGAGAGAGAGAGAGTTTTGCCATTAAGTATCTGTTTAGTGGGTGTATAGCCCTAACCTCTGGGAACAGTAGTAGTATTATTATTATTAGTATCATAATAGGCCAGTCCTACCAAAATAATAATATATTGATATAATAAATCTCTCTCTCTCTCTCTTTGACTATTACT